TCTTCTGGTACTCTTTCACTCATTGACTGACACGTGCGTTCATATTGTGGTCATATTTTGTTTTAAACCTTAACCTGAATACAGTAGTTGGTAGTTATCATAAATGTGGACAACCAAACTGTTTGTTCCCTGTGGAGGAACGAATCCAATGTGATGAGTGTAAAAAGTGGTTCCATAAGGTGTGTGCCCGTTTAAGTCTCACCATATACAAACGATGCTCGAAGCCTAGCTCGCGTGGGATTTGCATGTTTTGCTGTACAAATAAGACGTCACTAATACAGAAGGCCAGGAACCTATTGGCTTTGGCCCGTAAGAAGAACGATGGCGCATGCGCTGATAACACGAACACTGTCAGTGACGATTGTGTCGGTGTAGTACGTGCTGTTACGAGACGCCTCAAACAACCGACTTTGATTGATGGAAAAGTGATATCTCCGTTAAGATTAACGAATATTATTGTGAGCAAATCGCTGGAGTCAAACGACCCTGATCCGAAAATTAGACACGCGCATGATTTAGAGAAGCTAAGAGAATATGTTCGTAGTATCTTACTAGAAAACTGTAAAGAAGTTCAGTCAAAAAAACTGGTTAGAATATATATATATTATATTATATTAACTAGAAGCATTAGTGGACACATTAAGGCCACTCATTCTAGCAGTGACAGAAACTTGGCCTAGTGGTGATATTCATCCTAGGACTATGAAAGCCATATCAAATGCAATTGCTGAACCATCAGCAATACTGTTTGACATGTCTCTGAGGCAGTCTAGACCGCCCAGAGTCTGGAAAGACGCTATAATAAGTCTGATGTATAAGGTTGGGAGTAGGGATTTAGTTAGTTACTATAGACCCGTTAGTTTTACTCGTGCGGCTGTGAAACTTATTGAAAAAATCATTCGTATATCTGTTACAAACTATGTTGAAGGGCATAATTTTTTCTCTAGGGAACAACATGGTTTTCGGAAAGGCTTATCATGCTTGACGAATCTCATTGCAAAAGAACGGAATATTCCTGTAGATGTGATCTTCATAGATCTAAGTAAGGCCTTCGATAAGGTTTCCCATTCTGGTCTTAAATTCAAACTGGAAAGTCTTGGAATCACAGTCGTAGATTGGATAAGTAACTTTCTCCATGACAGGAGACAAATGGTTAAGGTAAATGGGGCTCTCTCCTCGTGGATACCTGTAAAAAGTGGAGTTCCCAAAGGTACGATCCTCGGTCCTCTTTTCTTTTTACTCTATGTAAATGAATTACCAACTATAGCGAAATCATCCGTTCTACTCTTCGCTGATGTCATAAAGATTTGGAGATTCATACACAGTATGTCGGATAGAACAATATTACAGGATGATCATAGCTCATTAGTGGCAAGTTGGACAGGTGGTCATCATAAGTGAATCCTAATAAGAGTGTGGTGATGCAGCTAAATAGCTATGATGATTCGTATCACTACACAATATGTGGATTCGTGCTACCCAAAGTAAAAAACTATAAAGATTTAGGAGTCATATTAAGCAGTGATCTCAAAACCACTAGTCACTGTAAGGCTGCTGCTGCGAAAGGCTATACGGTATTACGGTCTATTCGCAGGTCTTTCCAGTATTTAGATGAAATGTTTAAATTACTATACCCGATTTACATGCGACCACATTTAGAATATGGGATTCAAGCAGCGAGTCCTTGTTTCAAGTATGATATATACTGGAAAGAGTCCATCGACGAGGTACTAAGATGGTAAACGGTCTATCTGTCCTATCTTATGAAGACAGACTGAGACACCTTAACTTACTTTCTCTATCTTACCGTAGAATACTGGGTGATCTAATATAGGTTTATCGTATACTGAACGATGACCTTGGTATTACCATAACTTATCTTTTGCTTCCATCTAGAACTGATCGTTTTAGAGAACATTCAAAGAAAGTTCAAAAACCGAGATAAATCGTTTACGTCTGGAGTTTCGTTTCTCGCACCAAGTTGTGAAATACTGGAATTCTCTACCGGAACACGTAATATCAGCACCTTCGGCTGATACATCCAAAACGAGATTAAACCTCCACAGTAATACAAACTGAAAGGAGTAATATCCTAATTACTGAAGACGGAAAACTGAATCATTTGGTTCATTTGAATCACTGTTTGACCTACAAAACCAGAGCGCATTTCGTTCAAGATCTATACTCATTTGGGCACACTATGTGTGTTAGTTTACGGGTTTTCGCGCACATGTAACATATTGTCGTGGATTTTATGTTTCGTTATTTATCAGCTATTAACAGCCTTTTTTCCATCATACGTGACTTCTCGTAATCTTTGTGATTGGAAGATAGTATTTATTTCAATTTATAAGCAGTTTGACGTATTTTGTGCTCACCACCTAAGTAAACATGCAGTTGGCGTAATATGGTTATTTTTCAATAATACAAGGTCAAACAAGTCAAATCACCATTTTTCTAGTGAAAAATAGAAAACAGATTGACTTTTCATGAATATAAGCCGTGAAAAGCATTATATATGGTTCACCTCCTTGATTATGGTGACAGCAAACATAGATGTTCGCAGTCGTTTATACGATGTTATCAGAAAGAAGTAAGCATTAAACTAACTATGGATATTATATAAATTGTTTGTATTTAGCCATAAAAGGTTATTTGCACTAAAGGTAGCATTGTTTGGTATTGAAGTGACATATTATTGTGTAACGTATCAGAGAAAAATTATGTGAGTAAGAATTGATGTTGATAGTCTTTTTTACCGGCTTTCTGAACGTATACAGGAACAGTGTATAACACCACATTAAATAGGCACAAAATCTTCATAAGTGAAACGATGGCTGTCTCTTCTGAGCATGGTGACAAAACCATGTCGTACCTAATATTGATTCATGATGTGTCTGTTATAGCGTTGACGAATAATTTTCTGTAAACGAAATGCACAGTCTCAGACGAAAATGTGAACAAACTTATGATGCATATTGTCGAGTAATATCTAAATGGTACTTACCAATTTTTCTTGCTAATACCAGATGTATGTACGAAATAATACAAGGGTTAGACACTGAATAAATTCCCAGTGCTTGTTACGACACAGACTTGAATAAAAAACAACTATTCATGAGTTAATTAATGAATTCCTACTGTATTACAGAGTGACTCGTCCGAAGTAATTCATGCAGACAACGGGACGAAAAGTGAATGAGCAATGGAAGCAGAATCACAAGTTCCTTGTATTCATATCTCGTTTATGCCAATTTTTAAATAACATTGATTTGTGTGTTGTAAAGATTACCTATTAATTATTATTAAAGGAAATAGAAATCTCTAATGATTAGCGCTGTCTGCAAATAAGAGACTTATAGGTACATTCTGTAACCTGCTATTTGATGTACTTATTGAATGTGATACTTATAACTGGGTCTAATTCTTTATTTCACAACTGATTTGTTTGTTTTTCAGAATTGTATGAATCCATCACAAATGTTTCAGTCAACATTGTATCCCCCATTATCTCTTTGAATTGATCTAGAATCCATATAACATCAGCACGCTTTTCCCTTAGAGTCCATGCAAACATTACAGTTCGACCTCGACCGCAATTATCCGTCACTACTAACTGGAATAAGGAATATCTACATAGTAAAATACAACGATAAACATATTCACTTTTTATTATTAGTATTATACGTAGAATCAATGCACACAACTTCTGGATATTTTCTGTACAGTTGTATTTGGTTAGAACTACTGAAACATATTCTAGTGGCATATCCATTTTCTAAATGTTCCTTCACTTCGCCTCTCTGTCTAAGCATATCCATTACCTGGTTCCGAGTACAACAACCTGAAATATATTTATATACACTTACCAGTGGAGAGGGTAGCTTTCATCCCTTTGACATCGGCAGCAGTTACTTGCTTACCAGTTCTCTCCTTAATGCTTTCGATAACTTCATCTGCTGACTCACAGTGAAGTATTACGGGCTTCAAGTTCTCTTTTTCTTCTGACGATAATCTCCTTGTCAATGGATCACATACAATCCATGAACTACTACATGGATGATTGTGGAGCATGTTGTAGGATTTGATGACATATCCTTGCTCCTCTAGTCTTACACGAAATTTAGATTGACAATTACGGAATTTAGACCTTAAACATAAGATATTAGTTACAGATCTTACGATTTTTGCCTCACTTTCAAACCTTCCGATTTCCTCTTATGACCAAACGTACAATTAAACGATACAAACAGGTATTTGAACCTGACATCCTTCAGCAATCTGCTCTCTGTGTGGATGTAACGAGTATAAGTAGTCTGAGAAGCGATAAAACTATAATTCCATACTTTTTAGAACTCTTTTAAGGCGCTTTCAAAATCATCCCACAAGACGAAACGCTTGTTCAGTATCATACTTCGAAAGGCATCGGTTAGGTCGACTGAAATGTCACTTGAGCATGAAGCACTAAAAACAGAAATGACTAATTATTAAAAGGTTATTCCTTGCGACAATAATAACCCAAGAAAATACTACAAATACTTAGGATTTACCTGTGACTTGACATTTCGTTGAGCTTTACTACAGTTGTTGGGATCAAAGATCAAATTACAAAGCAACAACAGAGCCAACGTGTACACTACAAAACAGAGAACGCTAAATTAATGGTTTTGGTATTTATTTCGTGCTTTTTTATGTAGCATAACATGACTTATATATGAAAAAACTTGGTACTCATGCAATCCAACCAACCCACGGCAATTGAAATACGGAATGACCGCCTCTAGTCAAGCCGTTCAAGGTCGTTGAAACGAAAGGGCGGGCACATTTCAAAAGGACCTAACGTTTAAACCTTGCCCTCATTTGGACTAGTCCTAAGCCTATAAATTCAGAGCGACTAGTTTTTGCTGAGATACAGATACTTTATTTTGCCACTGGTAAAACCAAGTAAGTATTAGTAAAGTGTAAGGTCAAATATGATTTCAAAATATGTGTGGCGGCTTATTTATTTTATGGTGTCCCACACCTTTCACGGGGACATATGTCATATGTTTACACTAAATAAAATTATATTTATAATTCGAATGCAAATTTAATTAATATAACTACGGACAAATCTATTAATTTTGATTTACCATAACTAGGCGCTGATCACTGATTACATGGATTTTTCACGATGAGGTCATATGAGTTTGTCTTAACTAAAGTGTAGTGTGGAGACTATTAATTTGAGTGCTCAAAATCTTAAGTTGCTTAAAATGACTTATCAGGTTTCAGCGTTTCAGCTCATCTCCTGTGGGGCGTCCAGTTTTTTATTGTTTATGTGGCTGCGAATTTTCGTAATACGCAGCGGCTTTCGTTATTCATTCGTAGTGATTCCAGGTTAGCCACTACTCTTTGAAAGGTCTCGAATTCCTAATTGGAATATCACGGAAGTATTACCTGTATACCTAGGCAGCCAAAATCTCAGGTTTGCTTTGTTAATGTTCATGTGTGGATAACACTGCATGTATTACTCTATCCAAGTTACTGTAATCTCAGTGGTTTGAGCTTGTATCACTGGATTTTTTAATCAATGAAACCCAGCTTACCGCATTGCTCTTTAAGCATTGTTCTTAATACAGATATTTCTGTTGATGTCACTTTCATTTGAGACTTTGTACATGTCGTAAAAAGAGGTCACATTTTGTACCATAGTTTGTTTTAGTTAATATTTATTAAAGAGATTCCATTTTGAGTTGTTGAAGCAGATGATCGAAAATATTGTAGATTACTTACATTAAGATCCACGAAGCAGCGTCATTTTGTCGAATGCCACAGTAGTTTGTAAAGAACCTAGAAACATATTCTAGTATCGGTCTACGAAATTCTGGTTATCTATGTGAGCCATGTCATTGTGTTCTAACATTTCGGTTGGTCAAGTTAGAATACTGCCATGTCTCAGTTTGTCTGCTGGGATAGTATTCTCTCTTAAGAACCTTATAATGCGTATCACATGTTTATTTGCAAAGTATACTATACAATCGGTCATAGCCAACGTAGAATCTGGTATATATCTGGCAGAACATTGAAATTAACCAATATATTATTTTCTCCGTTTGCAACCTCGTAGTAAATTCCACGGTCACTGAAATTTTAGTTCCCTCTTTTCTATACTCTAAATTTTAAATTTGCTGAACGGACTATATTTCTCATCATCTGTAAATAATCGACACTTTCATGACTGAAAATTTTAATTCTTGTAAATAATCTCTCATTGTACTTTTATAGTAAAAAATCTTGTTCAAATTTTTACCAGGTTATTTAGAAATGTCAGAAGTAAACGAAAGTGAATGTGAAGAATTCTTGAACATTATTAAGTTGTCTTTGGAGGAAGATAAAAGTCATGTTCATGTTGTTGTGATCATCGGAGCCTCTGTAAGAAATACTAGAACGTCTGTTTATAATATATTATAGGGTGACTTGGCAAAGAAAAAAACTTATCCGACTTTATGGTAACCTGATGATTAACTTTATTACAATCTAGGTGGTTGTTCCGTGATGGTCTTCTGCCCCCTCGAACTTACTTCGTTGGGTTTGCACGGTCTGATATTGGTACCCAGGACATAAGAGCAGAAAGTGAAAAATTTGCCAAGGTAAGATTTCATTTTTGCAACCTTATTTACGGAAAATTAACGCCGAAGAATTTAAATTACTGTTCTTATTTCACTAGCAGACGTTTGCTTCCACCTAAGTTTTCAAAATGACTATCAAGCTCTAGGGCGAAATTCACCTAAATTTAGGTATGTAATTTTTTCTATGTATTAAGTCTGATTTATCCAGGTTGGCATATTTGAGCTAATACCTTCTAACTTCTACTAGAAATCATTGCAATATGTTTCTGAAATATGAGGTTGCCTCGTGAATATGACTATGATTTATATCTCCCATATTTATATTTCAATACTTTTCTCACTTTATACTTCTCGTCTCATTGACTTCTCTTTATGTTTATGTGAAATGTCGCAACCTGAACCGACCCAGATTCATTCCACGTTGATGACTGACTGATGTACTCGACTTTTATGTTTAATCTTTCGATTAAAAGTATATATGCTGGCCATAATTTTCTAGTCCTATCTAATTTTACGATACTTTCAACTCGGTTCACATATATTATTGATAAATTTCCCGAAGCTGTTCTTGATGGGCACAGTCTTTGCTATATGACTGTCAGCCATTCAGTTTTTATTCCAAACTCATCCCACTTTTCCAATAGATAAGTAGTATGGTTAGTCAACTCTAAGATGTATCTATTGGTTTGTCGTACACTTGTATATTTAGTTATTGAGACTAATGGTTTATGGTTTTCTGGGGGTAAATATTTTTTCACATTATACCTTACCTGGCACATCACTATGACATCTCCATGTGAGTAAAATAAAAATGGTGGGATTTTTCAATTCCTACTTGAAAATGAGTACTCCCTACGTGTTGGCTTGTAACATGTGAATCATTGATCAATGTTAATGGATTCATTTGTAAAATATTTTTTGTAGGAATGGATCATTTTGAGTTCCTTTGAAAAATATCAAAAAATGAACTAGATAAATTTTATTCTTAAATTTTCAGTGAATTAGAATATCTTTATAATCCACAACATTTATCGTACACATAGCATTTTTTAAGTTAATTAATTAGTTTTTCGTAGTACTCTACTTTATAAACAACTTTTATTTGGTTCCTATCAGCTCTCATCATCTCCATGTCAAAAATATGAAGAATTTTGGGACTGTAATTTTTACTTGAGAGGAGATTATACGAATCCAAAAACATTTGAATTACTAAATAAGTTTATAGAGTCCAAGTGGGAACAATCTGTTAATCGCATATTTTATTATGCTATACCACCATCAGTTTATAAACCTGTTTCATCATCTATCAAAGAATATTGTACTAACAAAAAGTAAGCAATATTTCACTGTTATAATTCTTGAAGTAATTATTATCGGTTCAGTTGTTTTGCGATCTTTTTTCTTCTACAGACAATATGTATAAGAATAATTAGTAATTTTTAAAATAAATGAACAAATAGATTATTTTATGACCAAATTGTATTCATGGTTCTTTAAATTACCATTTGGAACTCTGTTGAATGAGATTTTCATGTTTATAGTAGTTTAACTTTCAATTTATTTTGTTCATCGAGATGACTGTGAAATAAATGAAGATTGGAATTTTAAGCTAAACTTAATAATTTGCATTTTGTCGAGGTCATTGTATTCATATGATTATCGAAAGCCTAAGTTATTAATAACTGACATTATTTTTCTAATCAGTCATATTTGTTCAGAACGTTACCATTCCAAAACCAACTAGGCCTTAACACATCATTGTTTGCATTTTGTTTTATGAACAAACTTATAAATCGAGGTTAATAGAAAATTCCACCTATCTATCTTGTGATTACATTCTGAATTGATTTCAGTATAAGTGATTCAGTTTCTAAACTTAAAATTTCATTTAGTTCAGAAAATGTTTGGCTAAAAGCCACGAGTCTGAAAATGTGTTTTCCAAATTACTCTTAATCCTAAAACACCTTAAATTCATTGATCTTTCAGAAAGTCAAACGAGGCTTAGCAATTAGGCCTGGTAGTCAGGCCTTAATCGATTAAAGAATGAATGACCTACAAGCTTATTTCCTCTAATTGGCTATGATGTTTTGTCATGTTTATTTTGTATTCATATGTTGCATACGAACATGTTATCTGATTATATGGGGAAACTATTCATTTGGCTAGTGGTCTTGTTTCTAATTTCTAATTATTCAGGGGCCTAAGTTAAGTATACGGTCCGTAGGTAGCCATCACTCGGTCACATTATATCATTATGTTCATCTGCTGACTGGCACTGTATTCATCGATATTAATGGTCGAAATTTCATCTAATAAAACCACAGAAAACTTCTTCCATGACATAAAGTTTAGGAGAAATGTGTATTTAAGCATGTCGATATCAACTTCTTAATGTTTCAGCTAGAAGTCCTAATAATTCGCAACATCAAAAATGATCCTTAATCGATAATGATCGGGAAGCAAATTATCATTGGTTTTGCTAATAAAATGCCTAAGTGTATAATACGCTAGCATTTTAGTTGTTATGGTCAAATTCTATCAATAACGACAATAGATAATAAAATTATTTAGCCGATTTTTCCTACTAACATCGGCGAATAATATCTGGGCTTCACTTAACTGCATTACCGAGTTGTTATGATGTGTGTTGATGATGAGAATCTGTCTGTTTCAGAGGAACAAAATTCTTTATCTTAAAGGACTGTAAAATATCTTGCAATAAGTGGCGCTTTAAACCGAAACTCCATTTTGACATCACATTCCGAATTTTATGCACTGCTATGAATCTAGATTGAATTTCTAACTTACACGTGAAATCTTAGATTCCGTTCTTAATGTTCGTTCCAAGTAAATCGGAATGCTGAAGTGACACAATATTCATAGATTATCTGGATTACTGGCACACTGTAGCGTTGAAACACAACAGCACTTTGAATCTTGTCAATTACATTTTGAGGTTACTTGACAATTTAATTTTTTTCAGCCAACAAGTTATATTGATTGATGTATTTTGTCTACTACAATAATACTTTTCCTAACTGAGGATATATACCTTACTCCAAATTAGTTGTGTGATTTATGTAGAGTGAACCGTTGTCAGAGGGCCTTTAATTTAATTATTGATAATTTTATATTTAATTCATTTGGAAAATACTTTTTTACACCGCTTCTTAATGTTATACTCGTAAATAACAAAATGCCGCTTGGTATTATGCTTATTTTTATTGGTTAATTTAATAGTTCAGGTTGCTCTGTTTTCTGTTTTGTAAGGTGATTACCATAAGAAATATGCCTCATCTTTCGTAGTGGTAGCATCACTTTTCTTTTCAAACATATCTTCAGTTCTTTTTCTCAAAATATTTCTATGGTTCTTTTGGAGTTTGTTTCTGTGTTTTTTGTCGTTATCTTTGTCCTTATACCCAATCATTATGTAACAGTCATATAACAAACTGCAGTTTTTAAACGTAGTTAACAATAAATGAAACAGTGGTTCATATGTTTTCATGTCTTTCAGTAAGTTACACTCTCATCCTTTTGTAGTGAACACGAACACCAGTAGGGATAATCGAATGTATTTGACACAAAATTACAGGACTTGTTAATAAAATCTACCAATCAAATAGTAAATACTTAATTTGCAAAATGTACATCAGTTGTCTTATAATGACTCAGACTTCATTGTTCTTGCATTTTCATACAAATTGCATTCTGTTCCAATTCTTTACTGTTCGATCCTCTTGTCTCTGTGCTGCCAGACATTCCGTTTCTGTATAAAGGATATGACATTATGACTGTTCTCTGAGTTTTTTTAAGTATTATCTTCATCCTGATCAAGTTATGAAAGTGCCCTGTATCAATATTCATTTTGTACTCAGAAAGGAACTAACAACGAATATATTAGAACACTGAAACTTGTAACTTTCATAAATATTAATTTTATGTTGGTACAAATTTCTTAGCCCTGATACGTGGACTCGATTGATCATTGAAAAACCGTTTGGACGAGATTTAGAGTCATTTAATGAATTGAATTCTGAATTAACTAAACTGTTTACAGAAGAACAGATTTATCGAATCGACCATTATTTGGGCAAAGAGATGGTTCAAAATCTACTAATTTTACGGTAAGATTCTTTCTACAGTACTTTATATAATTATTAACTTTCTTATATGTTCATTATTTTTTGAGCTCATAGATGCACGAGTAATAATGGTAACACATTTTGCCAGTTGTACTATTATTCAAAAGAAGGAAAAATTAATCTGGAGTGTAAAATAATTCGAAATTTTCTAACAAATACTTATTTGTACTTGTTTATTTTTAATCGGTAAAGAGATTTTATTAAAACATATTTTAAGAGCTAAACATAACAATATGAACATTATATGCCTTATGTCAACATATCTTGTAAATCTCAGTCAAATTCGATCAACACAAATATGAAATCAGAATTAGTTTTAAATCAGATTCTGTCGATGTCAGCAAATCATCACTCTCTATTATATGTATATAAATACCACTAATGAATGCAATAGATACCTATATCGTGACGATCAATGAAGTAAACATTACATTATTGTTAGAATGCAATTGATTTAGAGGAATCATTTAAAAGTGTCTAGCTAATAAACCAGTTGGTTGTTTATACACACTCTTATATTGTTTGATTTTTCTCAAGCCTCAATTATCACTAAAAATGATAGAAACTATCCAAACTAATGTTTTATCTGTATTTTGTATTCAATTTAATTACACATGCGTGTATCATATCGTTATTATATAAAACTTTTCTGCACGGTCAAAACATTTAATATTTGGAATATACGAACAAGTTCATTTAATGTATCATGTTCAAACAGTTGCATATTTGCATTATTATCTAATATGAATAAACTATAGCAACTCACATGCATTTGAGTTTATTCACATTTAATTTGGTTAAACCCTTTTGTTAACTTATTTAACGGATAGAGTCATTCGTACAATAACAACTTATCTATACTATTGTACCTTTACTATTGTTGTTGAATTCGTATGCTTGATTATAGCTTACTGCCTACTCATATATTCATTCTGCTAATCTTACTATTCGCTTAACTGATTCGATGATTCATTCATTTCACTATGTTTATATATGTACATTTTAGTCCTGTTCATTGACTCACTCATTCGACTCTCTTTCCCGCTTGCTTTTCGGCACTACTCTTTCATGCTTGCTTAGTGTACCTGTAATTTTGGGGATTTTTACATTTGGCCTGACTGATCAAGAAAACGACTAGTAAGCTAAACACATAACCCATTTCTTCCAACAGCATGCCTCGTTTGTAATCTCTCACCTGCCGCTGAGTCTTTAGATGTCCGGTAAATCGTCTGGCTTTCAAAGAATAACGTGTCCCCTATTTTCCGATCTAGCACCATCCCATCCTCCTAAAATGATTTTCATCTTGTCATTCACTTAAAGTGAAGACAGACGTGAAACAAGAGAGAAATATTTATATTCATATGAAGTAAATTCACAAGAAGGGCTCTTAAAAGTTGCCAAATAAGGAAACAAAACGAACAGAAAATGGTAAGCAGATATTGAGATGAATCAGAAAATTGTGCGATTGGTTAAATAATTTTCGTCACAAAAGCCATCGCTTTAACTACAAAAAGGCTGAAGTAATGTTTTCAACGTTCAATAAGTTACTTTGGTTAGTTTAGTCGTTAAAATACTTCTCGACAATTTTCCAGTAAGATTTTGATTTAACCGGTTTTGCTCACTATGTTTATTATGCAAAAGATTTTCCTTGTTTGATTCAATTTGCTTTTATTTGCAAAAAAATAACCACTTTCCAGATTCTGTAATCAGGTCTTCAGTCCACTGTGGAATCGTGAAAATATTGATAATATTACAATATCATTTAAAGAACCATTCGGAACCGAAGGACGTGGTGGGTATTTTGATCAATTCGGAATTATTCGGTAGGTAGAAATTCCCTTCTACCTTAAAAAAATGTATTTAAACGTGTCAAATTACGAGATTATGAATGATAGCTCATTGTTATTCAATGAAAATATTTAGTTGGTTCAGTGCAGATTCGTTCAATTTTTTCGGTTTAATTATATTGTGCGCGATATTACTTCTGTATTTCATGGTTTCGGCTATATGTATAGGGTTGCGGATACGCGTCGCTGACGATTCCCAGGTTGGAACGAATCAATTAATCGATTATTCTTGGTCTTCAATGATTCTCCAGCTGTCGTAAGTTTGTGGATAGAATTATCTCGAAATCATAGTTTGACATCATAATTTCCACATATCGGTTATTTTGACAACAGTTGCGATCATAAATTGAAGTCAGTTGAATAACTTATAAAATCAGTATTGGCACAAACAGTAGTATTTTTGTATTCATCATCGGTAAAGTATAACTTCAGTGATAAACTATATTCATCTTCAAATTTAAGATGTACCATCAAGTCGTTATTGAATAAGTTATATTGAACTAATTCACATTCTCAGCGAATTCACGAAAATTATTATCTGACTACTGACAGTAAACATGAACTATGTGTCAGTCACTCGGCGTAAAAATGGAGCTTCATTGACAAAAATGTAAAGTGTATATCTTTATATGAACAACCTGACTGTTTGAATGAATGGGCAGGTAATATTATAATCCGAAACAATAACACATTCACAAGGTTCAAGTTCTTGGAGTAATTAACCAAGAAGACAGTCATCTAAAGTATCGCTATTTAAATTAAAAAGACCCGTTCCCATTCAATTTATGAAAGATGCTTTATCGAACCAAAAAGATTTTGCGGGTAGACGTCAAGAAATTTAAAATTTGTTCTAGTTAGGAATGATTCACTTAATTATCTGTTAGGTGTATTCTCTGAGAGACATGAGAAAATGTATGATCTAGCGCAATTCAAATGGGGCGCACTTCAAATCAATGTTATTAGGACGAACTGACGCCAAGAAAACCAAATGAATCGAAATAATGACATCAATAATAGGCGATAATCTAAACTAGAAAAATGGCTTTAAAAAATCAAACAAATAACATTAATTAATGAGAAGTATATTTTAACACCAATGTTCAGTGAATTGAAGTAAAACAATCAATGAATGATGTATTATATATCGCATTAATTTTAAGTCACATCACTAATTATTAATGATATAGTTAGATTTGAAATTGGTGAAATTTACAATTAATAGTTTAGTATACGCTGTCATTATAAATTCACTTTTCAAAATTTTCAATGTAAATAATTCATTTAAGTTGATAAAAAAATTCTCAAATAACTCTTTGTTAATTTTTGAATGATATCGAAGTCTACCGATTGATTGAGACGTTACATAATATTATCAAATGCAATTCTATTTCGTGATATCATATATTTAACATTAGTATAGGAACATTAGCATATGAACATTGGTATAAGAGGGCGCCAAATACGTATGCACCATGCAATAACAATGAGACCAGTAGCAGTTACCATTGATTTATGTGAGGTCTGTGATACTGCACTGGTGCCCAAACCAAAACGGGTGGTTTTCTTAGGAGGCCACACCCGGAGCCTTTAACCTAGAAGCTTAATCCACAAGGCACTAGAGCAACTTTAGAAGATGCGGTCCCATGGTAGCCGGTGACCAACGATTGGTTTATACGCCATTTGTTCCTTCAGGATACTGGAGCTCATGTGCACCATTGGTTTGGAATGAGGGTTTTCCAACTCCCCTAGGTGGACTCTCCGTGTCCACCAAACCGTTTAAAGCACCGGACATTCGCTTTTCTTCCTCTCAATTTCGTAAACAGCACCTCCCGACACGAGAAGGCAGTGAGTAGGACTTCCCTGACAGAGGTTATATACGCGTGGCCATGTGAGAGCATTTCGAGAGGGAGAGTGGACGCTGCCCACTCTCGGCCGTACCAGGGCATTTGGGGGTTTCTATGCACTAAGGTAAACATTTGAATTTTAAAATTTTGTATTTCATTGTGTTGATTCATTTAAATAGACAATATATATTCTCGTGAATTCATCTTTCTGCTTTTCTCATACTATTTTTATCGCTAGTGATGTTGTTCAGAATCATCTTATTCAAATTCTTTCGTTGGTAGCAATGGAAAAACCTATTTCAGTTAATGCAGATGATATACGTGATGAGAAGGTAGATTGTAATCATTTTTGTTTTATATTTCATCTTGATGTTGTTACCGATATTGATGCTTAGTTTGATACTAATTTTATAGAGTTGTATTTATCACAGGTTAATCTCAGTTGGACTACAAATAAAAACCAGGAAGCGAAACCGTTGTCACCGGTGGCATTGAACGGTCATTATGCTATATTATCACAAATCTATATAAGCTAGAATTATACCACTGGAAGCTGACCCAATGGTTCTAATGGTTAGACGTTTACCACGAGAACTGAAGCTCTAGGTTCAGTCTCTGGAAAGGTCGTTGACACATGCTGCTGCTGAGTTTTATACAAGGATAAAACTGCTGTCTAGTGACCCGTCGGTTTTAGTCGTACACGGACTGAGTTCAGTATAAGGAATACAACCTGCAAATTAAACCCATCTCCACAAAACTCATTCAACCAAACTAATGATGATTTATTTTATCTAACAAAATGTAGACTTAAAATATTATCAATATTACAAGAATTTGCTTGAGGAACTTAGTGAAATGCATTATTCATTATATGAGGAGTTATTTATGCGCATGTTCATGACATATTCAGCCTATATTGACTAGACTGTGTATTTTTGAAGTAGCTCAGTGCATTTGACAGGATATTTAAGGGATGAGACTATTTTATTTAATGAATACTGTCCTTCATCTTATTTGACTCGTATCTATTAAAACGAATTTACTTTGTTGTAAGAATTCTTTGCTTTAATCATAAAAATTGTTTAAGTTACTGTGCTAAATGTACTAAGTCTCTGTGCCATCTGTCCTTAGTAGCCATGTGACGGCGTAAATCCCAGCGAGATAGTATAGTTCTGATGACAACAACTGTATACAATCTAAAAGACAACATGACAACTGTTGATTGTCACATATAGTTTCTTAATGAGATACAGATTTCAAGATAGTTCGAATCTTTGGTTGGAATTACTCACTACGAGTATGAAAACGGTAATATTAAATGACCTTTTCGTTGGTCGAAATCTGCAGATCGAAATAGTGTAATTAGATCAATCTCTCAAACCATACAACGCCCCCAAATGCCCTGGTACGGCCGAGAGTGGGCAGCGTCCACTCTCCCTCTCGAAATGCTCTCACATGGCCACGCGTATATAACCTCTGTCAGGGAAGTCCTACTCACTGCCTTCTCGTGTCGGGAGGTGCTGTTTACGAAATTGAGAGGAAGAAAAGCGAATGTCCGGTGCTTTAACCGGTTTGGTGGACACGGAGAGTCCACCTAGGGGAGTTGGAAAACCCTCATTCCAAACCAATGGTGCACATGAGCTCCAGTATCCTGAAGGAACAAATGGCGTATAAACCAATCGTTGGTCACCGGCTACCATGGGACCGCATCTTCTAAAGTTGCTCTAGTGCCTTGTGGATTAAGCTTCTAGGTTAAAGGCTCCGGGTGTGGCCTCCTAAGAAAACCACCCGTTTTGGTTTGGGCACCAGTGCAGTATCACAATCCTCACACATATCAAATGATATCTGTGTGGCACATATGTATTTGATTCGTCCTTGTACCAATATCCATGTGTTAAAATAAATAAAATAAAAACCATACAACAGCAAACTGAACATTGTTCAACGTTCCATGTTTCAAGTCAAATAATTAGACACCTTGATTCGGCTTTTAACATCGTTTAATATTTTTTGTGTACATTTCACATAAAACTATTGGGTTGTCGTAAATTAAAACCAGTATATTTTCCTCATGTAGTATAGGAAATATTTGAATCATCGTTGACTCAATGTTCAAGTGAACTGTTGTAAAACATCAGTCCATAAGCGTTAATCTTAATTGTTGGTCAAAGTTGGTCGATTAGTAAATACAGTGAAAATTCTTACTGATACAAATCTACTATAAACTCTGTCTCATATATGTATATTGATACGAAAAGAGTGGTACTGACATTGATACCATAATTTATTTTGAGAAGGATTAATCTATACCTCTTAACTATATTTCCTTTGAAAATAATATTGTCAATAGTTTCTATCTTGAGCTGTAAATCAATAGATTATCGATTAATCAGGAATCTCAATAGGATTTTCTTAGTTAAGTTGTCGTTAGCAATTAACAGGTAGTCCTGAATGTTGTAATCTTCAAGTTAGTTAAGACCCATTTGCTAGGCATATCTATAATCCATAACGAATTGAGTTTCGCTGTGGCATTCGAACACGTCACATTGAGAGATAATAATACCAAACTATTCGAGCAATGAGTAACCTCTTATTGGACTAAAATATTTATGCTTATTAATCACTCAGTAGTAACAAACGTCATACTGTCCATTTCTCATTCGTAATCCATTCCTATTGATTTTATCGCACCGTGACTACTAGTTTAAGTGGTTCAACATCTAGATGCACTCTGTTTGAATCTGATAGACTTTAATAACTGGATAACATTTAATTGGTTATTGCGAATTGATCAATTGGTGCAAAAGTAGTTTTCGTGCTTATTTTGCTGTTCACAGTTGGTTGTTATCTCATATAAATAAAACCTTAAATTTACTTCAAAGTAAAAATCAATAGCGAAGTTTATTGAATAGTTTCTCACGTGTTATTTTTCATATAAGTTCACTTAAAATTTGAATATAAAACACGTAGAAAGTTGATTATAGCGAAAATGGTGAACAGTGCTTGTTTAAATGTTATGTTGCTGAAATAAGACATCAATAGTAGCCGAATTATGTAATGCAATCAAATTCTAGCATAGTAACAACATTTTTAATTAGGAAGTTAAAACAGGTTGTTGTGAAACCGATAGGCTGCACAATGATTAGTAACAAAGTTCAAAGTCATATGTGGTCAGCAGTTAACAATAGCTATAAAGTAGGAAACAATCGAAAATTACGATAGTATGCTGAAATGAGATTTTGTGTATGATAAATCCTTTTGAATAAGGTACTACGTAATAGTTTAAAATGTAGGTTACCGGTTGAGTCTCCAAGAGCTCTTGTGTACATTTCTCGTGAATACAAAGAGTTGATCTGATAAAACCGATGTCAGCTGTTGCCAGCCAACTTACATGCAGATATTGCAGCGAACTGGATGATAATCGATAAATTGGTTGGAAAAACTTCATTCAGTTTAAGTTGACTTCCAGTGTATATCAAGTGAGAAAGTAAGAATCTCTCGAATACTCTTATTTTCTCTTTATTAAATAATGATGGATTTTGTTCAGAAATTCAGTAATAAACGTGTCTGATTAGATTTATGCTGTGACTAGTTACACAAAACCTGTTGAATCGTTACATACCCATGGAAAATCCAGAAAGCTCATCTTTGTTCTTATCTATTGAAATCGAAATATTCGCACGCGATTCTGAAGGTCCTGGGTTTGAGTTCCGCGAGAGGGGTCGTGGATGCTCATTTTTGAGGAGTCCTACTCTAGGACGAAACAGTCGTTCAGTTACTCCAGTCCTTCGATGGGCGGTTTAACAGTGATCGATTAATGATTTCAGCGAGATATTTAAGTCACACATTTTTCTAAATAACGAATATTTAAAATTATTCCACATGATTCTGTAAGTTGGTGACAAATATTTGTACTCACATGAGTAACTTAAAGAAAACGTTTGACACAATCCATAAAGCTTGTTTTTCATACTGTAAACTGTATATTTATTTTTAAATTATTGAATTATTTTCTTTTAAATTATGTAAACCGTTAATACTAAAGACAATATGTGTTATTTGAATGGGTTTTTGCACGGTATCACAGTTTCGTTGACATTTTAACTACACCCATCAGCCTATACAATTTATTTCTTCTTAACAATTTCCCTTGTTTTTACCACTATATACCTGTGTAATTTTCTCATTGTATTTACGTTTGTACTATACCTCCAATTGATTGGACTAAATCGATGCTTATAAATTGCTAAGTAGTTTGTATAATCTACAATATACTATGTATCTGATCTTTTTTATCCCTTGGGCAATATTTTTCAGAATATTTCTGTGAAGTTGTAGGTTAGTCGAATACGTTTTAATGACAGAAACGTTTGTTGTCGATTCCCTTTACAAAACATGTGAATTAGTTCAATTAAAACGTTATTCAATGGCTCCCCCTATTTTTATATCAGTTTTATTGTCATCAAAATAGTTTCTATTTACCCTTAATCAATTTGACCTCTTGCTTATGAATTTTTAACAATAAATACTATACTAGAATAAAATAATTTATTCATTCTTTAAGAAGTTTTGATTTGCTCTCCAAATGATATTAGTTTTTGATCGTAATTAAAATACCTAGAACTTATAAATTAACGGAATGTCTACAAAGTCATTTTAACTTGAATAACCAATCTCTAATTCACCAGTTATGAACTCAGATTCTTGCCTACTTTTCTAATGATTAAGTTTTGTCAAAATAATTTATATCTTTTGTTTCCTTTATTCAGTTAATTTTTCTACTTTATAGTTCAGAATACAGTTAGCCAATTTTAAAATGTCGTTTGAGGATTCAGTGTTTGTTTCTAAAGTGAAAAACACTTTTCATTTGGAATTTATTTTATCTATATAAATGTAGTAAAGTTTTCCTTTTATTGAGTATTTTCAAACATATTTTATAATGTAATGTATAATCTAATCTTTATCTAAAATACCTTGGTTACTAATTATAAACTGTAATGAACCCTATAATTAGCTTATTTTTCATTTTGAGAACTTATATTCATTTGTAAAATAATCTGTAATCAAAAATTATTACTTTTGGGTGGGAACAGTTGAAAGTAAAAAAAACAAGTAGTAAATGAAAATAATTTGCCTCGACTAAATTGTTATTTCGTTTTCAATTTTACATTTCTAAGTTGTTTGTTGAATAGCAAATAAAAAGCTACAAATACACGAACTACATCATATGTTTAGCCTCCTTTGATGGTATCTTTCGATACTCCTATACATATGCACATTTTAATAAAACCATATTATAGATAATTTCGTTGAAACTATAATTTATGGACTACCTTTAAGCGACGCTAAAGTGGTCTTCAGAATGTCCACTTACTAGGGCTAAATGAGAGTTATAAACCTGTGTGAAGAATAAGAATTATGATTTACAGTTGATGGTTAGGGTTAAGAATTAGATTTTGGGTTCTCATCACGAACTGATATAAGTTAAAATGTCAAAATACTCTTTAACCAAATGGATGAATGAATTCCGCAAAAAAATTCAAAACCTGTTATCTTAAGCCTGATTGGTTAGTCCATAAATTATAGTGTCGTCAATAATCCTTAATATAGGCTAAAACATAAATATCAGTCTATGAAAAAACAGTGTAACATTCAGTAAGCTGTTTCAAACTGAATTACAAGCTTTCTCAAAACCATAAAATCAAAACGATTAGTGAATCGCTACTATTCTTTAGAATTTTGTCTTGTTAATTCTACTCTGTGACATCATTTCTTAGCACAATTTTTAATAACATGATAAATACCCAGATAATAAAGAGTATTAGTGATTTTAATTGTGGTTTCCTATTTGTAAGTATATACATTCATTTTAATACATTAAATACTTTATTAGCATAGTTCTATTCATATGATACTGTTATGTATTGAGAAACTCACTTAAATTTGCCTTTTTGTTTGTCTTCACTTACATCTAACAGAAAAATTTCAATTGTGGTTACATTAATAGACATAAAATCTAAAGAAGTGGTATAACACAATCTAATAATGAGTTGTTTTATTGTTTCAAGATTATTAGTACCTATCTCTTCACTTCTATCGTGGAATAAGCTTTTTTTCGTCGATAAGAAACGTGAGATATGAAGTATTAAGTATTATAAACACGATACGAATTCATTGTTTTCATCCTAGTTTATTTGCATCTGTAACATCAAAGATATCAGATTTTTCATATTTGTATATTCGAGGTGTATGATCCCGACCGTAGCAGCTACCTTGACGTGGTGGTCGGGCTTGCCCATCGTGATGACCCAACCGAGCTATATTGACTGGAATATATGTTCCTGTAGGTTCTACCATGCCAGGCAGGTCGATTGGAGAACGGTAAGACTAAAAATCAGCAACTCAAGGTCTGAGGGCGAAGTCGTACTGCTGACTGTAGACGGGTGTGACAGCAGTAAGGTGTTTCCTTCGGACAACCAGCATATACAGCGATGCTGCCTTCTCACAAGGAAGGAAGGGGTTGAAAAAGGTCGACCCTAAAAATGTCACATCTCACCTTACCTCACGGATTTCCGTCTCCGGCGGTGAGGCCCTTTGAAGAACGGAGCTAACACGTCAAAAACATCCCACAAAAAGTCCGTGCGCGACCGGCCTCAGGCAGTTGTCCCTTGGGCTCTGCAGTAACGCTCCCAGGCCGTAAAGGTCGACATTAATCCGGATTTTTTTCAGGTTCCTCAAGAAATACCCTTCCACGGTGTGGGCAGCTGGGAAGTGACACCAGCCCTCATATTCGTAACAGCACACGAGACCAAGTTGGTCACATTCAAATCCTTCCTACTGACTGACTGACTGGTGTATGATAAAACAAATTAGTGAATTTCATCGTCATTTTTTATTTGTTAAATTTTTCTGTTAACTAATGTTTTAGATCTTTCTATTTGGTAAAATCTATTTGCGACAAAAATGTAAATTTTTTAGTCGTAATGATAAGATTTTAAAATTCATTCGTAGTTACAATTTCTTGAACAACAATATGTCATTTTAACATAAATCATCAAAAATGGAGTAGATTTATAACCTTTGTTTGAAACTTGTCGAAAGTTTTCTCAAACGAAATTGGACTCGTAACTTCCAGACCGCTTGACTAATACATCATTTAGTCAGTGGTACAGAATTCAACAGTTTATACATTAAAAATTAGTCAATCCGCGATATAACGCAATCTGCGCTCAATAGTATCAAAGGGTTACTGCCTGACTGTCGGTTTTGTCAACTTTACATGGTACGACTTCCCAACAGAACTTTCAAAAAGATCTATGTCGAGCACATTATTGCTATATGTTGCGGAGTGACTGAAACGAGAAATGTGAATCATCTAGTTCTTACCCTACCGTTCAATTGTAACTTACTTGTTCTAAGATTCAGTTGTGCTAATTTATTTCTCGTTATATTATGAGTGGCTTCTACTGAATACTCTTAAATCTAAGTGTTGGCTTTTGGTGTTCCGTTGCTTTTTGATAATTGTTCAGTAAATAAACTGGAATTATACGGCTAGGTAATCTCAACCGATGCAAATCAAATGTTAGATATTCCGTCGCTAGAAAACATTTTCATCGTGCTTCAAACTGCTGACATAAAATTATACGGTGATTATTTCGTAACGAGGACGTAATATATCCAAACGCCTGTCACTCTCTCTCTCTGGTTAGCTGTTACTGGGTTCCAATGAATATTCGCTCTATATATATTAAATATGTTTGATGACATCAACGTGTGCTCGTAACTGCACTTAAAATATCACTTCATAAGTACATGATCATCACTATAGTTTTTACGTATGCTACCAATATTTCGTGGTTTAATTATGCCAGGTTTTAAGCTAAATTATTCTACCGTTTAATTTATGTACTGTAAATTATTTTTACAGTTCGTTCGTGTTTAGTTATTAACAGGATTATATTAAGGATGAAAACATGTGATATTATGTTATAATGGTAGTGTGTGTGTGTGGACGTAGAAAACAGTGTAATGTTTTAATAATACATACTTTCTTCCTTTATTATATTCTTTGTAGGTTCGTGTGCTTCGAAGCATTGAACCTCTAACAATAGACGACATTGTAATTGGACAGTACGTTGCAGATCCGAATGCAACAAATCCACCTGCTTCGTTGTCTTACACGGATGATCCATCAGTTCCTAAAGGTAGTCCAACTTTTCTCCAGTTTTCAACCTGAAGCCTTTATACAGTTTTTAATAACTGCCAGATTTTTTTGTTGGTAAACCAATCGTTGGTCACCAGCTACGATGGGACTGCATCTTCTAAAGTTGCTCCAGTGCCTTGTGGATTAAGCCTCTAGGTTAAAGGCTCCGGGTGTGGCCTCCTAAGAAAACCACCTGTTTTGGTTTGGGCACCAGTGCAGTATCACAGCCCTCACACATATCAAATGAGATTTGTGTGGCACGTATGTATTTGGTTCCTCCTTGTACCAATATCCATGTGTTAAAATAAATAAAGTAAACAATGTTAGGCGACTTAAAATGACTTGTTTTTTCATCTTACTGTGACACAAATCTTGAACTTTACTTGTCAAGGATACTTTGTATAGAATATGTAAGCAATCACCTATCCTTATTAGTGAATATTTATTAATGATTAGCTTTTTGATTACTAGCAATGAGATACTTAGACATTTTATCGTGTGTATTTTTGTATGTGTGCTAGAGTGTTGTCTTCATTTGATTACTCTTGGTTCCAAGAGTTTAACGATCATTGTTTGATTTAATAATTCATTCTGGTTACCTAAAGCACTTCAACTCAAACAGTAGATACTTAGTATTCTAAATCAATCATGCAAATGATTTACTCAACTGTTATCCTGTTATTCACCAAAGGTATATAACATGATCACCCCTGTCACCATATATGGTAATGTTCACTTGTAATTAATTGCTTAAGAAATATCAGTTGTATATTGTAAAGGCATCAAATTAAAGACGTACACAACACAAGTTTTTTAAGCTGCAAATGATGATTCACTCATTAAGACTAGGAACTTTAGCAGGTCTGAATGAGTGTCGTCGTTGTTATAGTTACTTCATGAGTTACTTTAACAAAAATATGAAATCCTTGTCAGTTAGTTAGAGGCAGTGATTAGAAAACTGTAGACCTGGTTTACTTACTACTTTGGACCTGTTAACAAGGCGTACCTTCAGTCTTAGGAGAACTGGTGCTTCCTATCAGGTTCGAATTCGCGTCACTCAGCTCTACAGTTTGAGATGTTTTTGTTTGGAATGTAACAGATCTGGTTTAATGTAGGTGGCCAGTATTACAAGATGGATTGTAATGATGCAATGAATAGAAGAAATATCGGGGCGATTAATGTAACCAAGTATTCAATTTGTTCATACAACCAAACCTTTAATTCTAATTGAAAATTCTTTCGATGACTGAACTGCTAAGCAACTGGCCATATATTTTTGGGAACTAAATGTGTCATGTATAACGCATAAAATATTTAACGAACATGGTCCGATCTTAAGTTACATATATGGCAAACTTTAAAAAAAACACCAAGAAATTCAAGGTACTATGCAAAGCAATAAGATTATATTTCTAATATCCGCATGAATCTACTTGTACCGGTTGATGACCTTATTTGTTTGCGATATTCTCATTTTTCATTGTTCCAGTTTACGAATTTCTGAAAACACTTCACTGTACAATATTTTCATTGTGATCACTATTAAAGTTTGTAAAATATTAGTTATATTTAGAAACCAATAATCTTAAATTTTGATATCGACTAAACATTATTGTACAGCCAAATGATTTTCGATTTTTTTTAAAATTTTCTGGACAATTTTAGATTCCATAACACCTACTTATGTATGTGCTGTGTTATATGTGAGAAATGATCGTTGGAAGGGTGTTCCATTCATTCTCCGGGCAGGGAAAGGTTAGTTTACATGTTGTTTGTGTATTTTCACTTTTCATTTATTTATTCTTGATCGAGTTTGTTAGAAAAATATGTACTATCAAAATTTTCTAGCAATTTTCCAATCGATTTGTTTAAGTGGTGTAACATCTGGAAATAACAATGTAAGCCTCGTTGATTGAGGTCGGACACGTTTTAAAGATATATACACATTTACCTTGTACGCCAGCTTGTGATCTTATCTGCATTTATATGAAATAAATATGTAATGTAAGCTGCTTGTTTAATGGTCTATACATGTTTCTGTATGTTTTTAATTTGTACCTTTTTATTCTAATGGTGTAAATAATGATGCTAAATCCTGACTTCTTTTAATGATTACATACTTGTATTTAGTTTGCATTTGAACTATTATTGTAAATTATGTTCTTCAAAAAAATATATCATACAGTAACACTGGTTGACGATTCAAGGAAATCTACTTCCTGTTATATTTAATGATTATTTAGTAAAATGCTTATGGATAGCATCCTGTGGACTTGAAATACTGTTATCTATGTGCCATACTGAAAACCTAAGGATATTTTACGTACATTTTCGTTTACAAGTTTTAAGGTAGCTTTGATTATCAGATCTTCATTGACAATATGTTTATCTGTAAAAAACAAAATCCATTATGCCATATACATTTTAGTTTTCATAGAACTTTTATTTAGAATACGAAATACTCTGTTAAAACTCCAATCTTTGGTATTAATGAAACTTTTCGAGAAAACTTAAGACATATATGGCTACCAAAACTGTCTATTCAGTAATGCTATTTTGGTTATGGAATATGATCACAAAATAAAAGACAGAAAACTTTCAATGCTTTGCTTTTCAATATTAAACTTAAGAAATTTATTAATATGGTGAACAGTTCAATGTTTGAGACTATCAGACAGTGTGTGTCATCATCGTGAATTTCGATACGTTTTCCTGTATTTGAACAGCTAGATAATGATTTAATCTCAGCACAAGAGTCATGCCGTACTTCAGTCGACCGTCTTCTTAACAGAAATTTAATAAATATTATTAAATTTGGTAAATGATATGGAAATTCATCTTCTGTTAGTTTTGTACCGAGTACACACATTTCTTTCATTATTAAGATAGTGATTGTCTCATATTAGACGTTACCGAGTTTATTTCGGTCAATCAGTAGAAAAAAGATGAGAGAATTATCTTTTTTATGCATGAGTCAGCATCCAAAACTCAGGAATTTAATGGGCAATATTGTTGGGTTTTCACCGTCGGTCATGGATAGAATTTTGGTTTACTGATATTCCATGGAAGTGTCATAATGTCTCTTAAATGATTCTTGTTTTTCAGACATATTCATTACTAGTATCATTATTTTCTGGGGAGCACATTATTTAATAAGAGGATAAGTATACTAAATTCACTTGATTTAAAAAAAGGTCTTTATGTTTTTTAGATTGTAATTTGTAAACGTTTTCTTTTGCCTTTACATCTGTTTTTTTCAAATTTCTGGTATGCAGCACTAAATGAACGTAAAGCAGAAGTCAGAGTTCAGTTTAAAGAACCTCATATTCATCTTTTCGGTTCAAAAGAAGGTCTACCACGTAATGAATTAGTTATACGTGTACAACCGGACGAAGCAGTTTATATTAAATTGAATGTGAAATCTCCTGGTATGAAATTTCAAACAGAAGAAACTGAATTAGACTTAACTTATGCTCAGCGATATAAAGTATAGTTTTCTTTTCTCTTCTATTAATGTATTATTAATTATTATCAGGCCATCAAACTACCCGACGCTTACGAACGATTGATTCTCGATGTATTCTGTGGAGTTCAGACAAATTTTGTACGTTCTGATGAACTACGCGAAGCTTGGCGTATTTTAACACCGGTATTAAAATACTTGGAAGAAAATAAAATCAGTCCATATCCATACATTTATGGGAGGTAATTGAAATATATTTTCCTTTTCATTGCACAAATTATGGTCAGATTCACCTACTGTTTTGAAACTTTTATTAACAATTCATAAGTTGAACTGGCTATCTCAATGAAGTATGCATTAATAGGTTCAGTCTAGATTCATCAGAACATCATGCGTTTGTATTTATAACTTTGCTTATTGTAGAAGCATCGTGCTTAAAAACTAAAGCACTTTTTTGATTACTGAATCTAAAAGGATACTTCTATAACTATGTTTACAATAGTATATAGACAGTTAAATATCTGTCCATAAAGAATTGTAGATCCGTTTGTATAGATGGAATAGACCTGTCCTATCAGCTGTCAAGTGTTTATTTAAAAGACACCAACCATAGTTATTACATGTATCTATGTTTATTTTTTTTTAAAAAAATTTCGAGATACTTTTTAAAATAGATGCTCACTCGGGCAATTAGATTAGTAATGTGTGCATAACAGCCAGAATAAGATATAAGCCTAAATCCACTGCCTATTAGTCTTGTTTATGTTAGAAAACGTCAGTTAACTTAATTACCATCCTTATCAACTCAACGGCTACGTATTCATAGTAATTCTAAAAAATTTTCAATTTTATAGAATGAATAAATAATGTACACTATTGAAAAAAACCGAAATCATGATTAAATATTTATCTATTACCTCGAGTTTTAGTTATCAGATTTAGATCAGTACTGAACTAAACCCAAGAACATCTTTAACAGAGTTGTTATTGACATTATGTTCAGTGACTAAATCGATTGGAGTGTTATTGACAAATGAAATCGATTTTGATCAATGGTTTATACCATGTACTCACATCTGGAGAAAAAGTCAATTAGCTATATCTGTTGATTATAAAGGCTTAATTGTATGATACTGCAACTATGTGACCACATAGTAAGCTATTGATTAATTGATATTGAATATTACTTAGTTTAATTTATGCAAATCTGACTATAAGTAAATAATATAAAAAGTGATATATTCATATATTAAATTATTTCCGGGGTCATATTAAATTCATATAAGTAGTCTTCGTGTTTTGACTACGCGCCGTCGGATTTAAGGGTTTCGTATCAAGGATAAGTCATTTAAGCAGTCAACAGACATATCACTTATGTACCATCGGTTACGAAAGCCACGCAATATTGTTCGGCCTGCTTTACTGCATCATAAATCGGACTGAATCTAAGATTCCAACCACATCTATTACCAGCTAAGTAAAGTAGACTTGACACTTAGAATCTGATGAATAGTGCAGGACGATTTATAATTAAAAGAAAAGAAAGTACATATATGGAAATTATTCTTTATATTCGTAAACCAAATGTCCATTAAATTATTTCCATATTTCTATTTCAGTCGTAATGGCCCGAAAGAAGCAGATATTTTGTGTAAAAAAGCAGGTTTTCAATACTCTGGTACATATGTTTGGAAATCAGGTTAAAAAATATTCATTCCGTCAATTTGCGATAACTCAATCAATTATATAAAAGATCCACATGTTTTAACTTATTTGAATGCCTTAGTAATTATGAACAGAACATTCGACTAATTTGTTTCTTTACAGCCAATTTGCTTTAAGATTTTATTGTAATAGCACTTTTGTAATAATATTGTCACAACAAACCATATACAAATATATAAATCTGATTAATACATATAACTCGAATACAATAGTAGTTGGTGTTGTTCGGTTAGTTTTATAATGCTTATTGTTTTGGCCCAATAAACAGCACTTTCAGTCATTATTGTATACCAGTGTTACTGTTTGACACCGCAACTTTTTCAACTTATAAACACCTTACACGACAACAGTAAATTAGCGAAGTTAAAGTACTTTTACTAGTAATCTGTGGGTCCTTATTCTATCGGAATAATTCAAATTTGCCCTGCATGACCGCATATAAATTGAACATTTCCTACAGTACTTCAAATCATTAGAATTTAGGAACTAGACAAAAAACAGGTATACATGTTTATTCATGTACACAGGATCAGTAAGAACCATATCACCTTGATGTTTTGAACTTGGGTTGTTTAACTCGAGAATGGAATACGCGGCTGATGAGTTGTCGAGGAGTACCAACTCATTCTCCAAAGGTCACTGAAACAGATGAATAAGCTTTTCCATGAGTTCTAGTCATTTAGCCGGGAGGAAACTGGTTGTTAGACTGTTTTTCTTCGGTTGAAGGGATACCATCTAGGTATGAAAGTGTTTGGTAATATAAGTTAATTAGTACTTCGGTCTGACTGGTCTATTTTCTCCTCGATCACTTCAGTGAAGAGGAAACCTAAGTATCTCGTGATTTTTTATTCCCTTGATATAGTAAATGCAACTGGTGACCCATGGATGTGTATATTAGTCTGCATATTCGTCAGTTGACAAAGTGGTTTTAAATAAAATTTGGTACGCCTGGGATTTATGCATTTTTCCTTATCACCTTATGAGCGCTCAACAGAGCTATTATGATAATACTTGTTATGTTTGGTTCTTGGTGTATGACTTTGACTTTATTACTTTTCCATGATTAAGTTCCTGTGATACAAGTTCATAAACTTGAACACGAGATTCATCGTCTTTACATTTGTTTCTCTGATGCAGAGAGGTTATGTTTTCATGCGTTCCTAATGCAGCGTACAAGAATCAAGAAAATAGCTTTTGCACAAAGCCGTTATTAAAACACTTAATAGAACAATGTGTCTATATTTATCTTATATACTGCTGCGGTAATTTAAAGTACTCATCGTTTAGTAGCTAGTAAACTACCATCTTCATACGTAACCAAGATGTCATGAAATTAACATGACTTTTTGTTGTTACTTAACCCAATGCACTTCAGCAGTGATTATGAGTTGACTTGCACTGCTGTTACATGTCCATTATATGATAACCGGTGATATAAGCTGGCTGTTAATGCATGTAATTGGAGCACAATTAAAACCTAGGGCTTAAAGATACCACAGGCACTCAGAGATTGACGACGCTTCTACACGTAACATATTTGTACTCGAAGTAAACCACCCCAGTCAAATCAATTTGAAATAAAGAGGTTCGAATGTATATTTGGAAAGCTATCTATATGTCGAGAAGCGCTTGATCTAAGAGAGCCAGCAGTTATAGAGGAGGCGTACCCACGTGTGATCTGGAGTGAATGTGGGTTTATTTACCACTATACGAGTTAACAAGGATATTCTCAGACCTAAATGGATGCTTATGCTGTGGTATGAATAGCAAAAGACTGTAGAAATACTTGTTCGGTGCTAAACTTCATACCATGTCTGTTAAAATGCTGTTAAAGTTTATTTATCACCCATCTAAGTGACTTCATTGAGCATCTGCTGCCATGGTCCAGAGATAGAACTCAGAGTTGAGTGCTTATGACCTCACCATACAATAAAGAGTAGCTAAAGGCATATCGCATGCAGATTATTTATCACTTCTAACGTCTATCACGAACTGACCGTCTTAAAGCTGAATAATTAGGAGGATACCCTAATAATGTTGATTTTCTTATTGTACACTGTGTAACCCGCGGAGTTTGTGTTGCAACTGAGCTTTAGAAGGTTATCTCTAAGACGCTTATACTCTAGTAAGGCTCCTTAACAGAATAAACTTAAACTGCTCAAACGTCTTGTTTTCACTAGATCGTCTGTATTCAGCCTATTAGTATTTTTTATTCTCAGACCGCGACTTCGTATAACATTATGTTGCTTGTAGTTCTCGAAAACGTTTGCAGGACAAGCTGGTTTACAGCATGTAAGATAGTGTTTAGTGCGCGTTTAAATCGATGTACGAGTGGGCTTCCCTATTTACCTACTGTAAGTTGTTTTGTAGAGCTGATTCATCCAAAAGTTTGAAATGCCATAGTTTTTTTTTGAGTAAGAATTTTTTGTCCCGATTTGTGTGATATTTATAAGTATTATTATATTAATAAGAAATCTTAGGAATGACAGAATTAAGGCACAAATTAACGTATCGTATTTGGAATTTGAAATGAATAACAACAGAATTATTAATTCATATCGACACCACATTCTGCTGATGAAATTAGAGGCTAAGAGGTCGAATTCTGGGGGGCCATAATTGAGAGTTTGACAATTGGGAATTCCTCATTTGTAAATGTGCAGTCAAAATACGACGTTCACTGCTAGTATCTCCACTGAGTTACTATCTCCATGCTTTTGAATTATCGTAAATCTTCAATGAGGTTGAAGAACCGGGCTTCAATGAAGCTGTCACCCCCAATTCGCATGTGTCCCGTGTAAATGATTCTGATAAGATTGAAGTCTCCCCGAATCAGGATGCAAGTGTAACCAAGACGAATGGGGCGAAATAATTTGTAGCGTGGTGTCGAGTCGCAGTTGACTATAAACACCAATACCAAGGAACGCGTGCCAGGATATCCATTAAATCCCCAGGGAGTGAAATACCACAAAGCAGTTAATGGACCAAATCGAGATATTTTTGTTAGCGATCTCGTGGTATTAAAAGAATACCGAGATCGTGCCAGGATAGAAGCTTGGTTACAGAGTGTAACCGAATTCGCGCGAGGTCACAATCAAAGTGTAAGAACAATGGATGCTTTTTAGGACAGTTGAAAAAAACACGTCAAAACAGTCGCTGGTACAATTGGCTATAATAATAATTGTTTTCAATAAACCAATCGTTTTCTCGTGATAAACGTGAGTCACTACAAATTCCTACAGCATATGATCGTCCTATACACTGTCAGCAGTAGCTTCTCTGAAAATAGTTCTAACTCAACGTCTCAAGGTGCTGGACAATCTTACGGAGTATAAAACAGATTCTATAAGATTAATGGACTCATATGTGTACATTTGGTGTGCCACCAAGCAAGATCGTAGGTACAGGGCAGTTCTTCCGTTAATTCATATTTATTGAAGTTGTGGATCAAAGACATATTGGGTATTGCCAACTTCTAGTCTGTTATTCAAGAGGGGGACCATGTTTATAATGTTCTTTTCAGGTTTGTATTATTATCATTACCTGGTTAACGCAAATTATCCTTTTTCGGTAAACTCACAGAGTTCGTATAACGATTTCAGTTTGAAAAATGTGAGCCTCCATGCCCCGTATGTCTTGACAAGTTCTATGTGAATATACAGTTAACCTACCTCAACAAAGTTTTCCGAGTGTTTAGTCTCTGTTCCTTCTACACTTTTACCTGGATTTGGCAGTCCGGAAGTTTTCTTCAGTACCTAATTCTTGAATAATGTTACCTGTCCAGATGCATGTGGGGCGTCCATGGTGAAGAAATTAGGTTTACTGAGAGACATTAACACCGCTGATATTATGAGGTTGATGAGCTTTAGCATATCCTTACAAGATTTGATGAGTGTTTTACCAAGACTAATGTTCTCGAAGACTCTCTTCTTAACATCGCTGGACGTCTATTCTAACCGTTTCAGGACAATTTTGGGGTCGTTTGCGATCTTTTATTTGACGTGTCAAGAAGATGGTAATGTTCAGTAAATCCTCAGCACCTATGTTGCATGAGTTACATGTCTAGTGACGGTCTGATATACTAAGTCTATTGTTGGCAGATTCTTGCAAAACTTTCCGACTGTAACAAAAAATCAACATTTATGAGATGGACAAAACAAATTAAAACGAGTAGTATAGAATTTTGGCATATTTGAAGCATCTTTGATGTCAAAAGCCACCAGGCTTCCATCGAGTAAGGATACAGGAAAATATTGAGCAATGAAAATTATGTTCGTAAAGCGCGCGTGCGATTCCGTTAGAAAAGCTGTAGACACTGCTTCAGTGAGTCCATTTAAAATCATTTGTAACGAAGTAATCATTGTTCTCAAGATGTCATATCATCGATAATTTTATTGGTTGTCACGATTTAGTCACGTATAACATAAAGTGTCGCGTTACTAGTGTGACCTTTGGTGTAGGCCGTCACTTTTATGAGCTTACCACATATTATTAGGAGGTCGTAGTTCTACAACATTCAAGTTGTAGTCGTTTGTAAGTTCGTTCATATGTCTGCTACTAGTCGATTTCAATCAGAGAAACTTATCTTGAGACAGTTATTCACTGGTGATCCCCTCCTAATAGACATGGGAGCCTGTTAAGCGAAAGCTTCTATTCCGTCCACAACCTTTTGAAGTGATCTGACTAATTTTTATGCGCTACACAGTTTTGTGTATTTATCTGAATTCGCATAATATATATCCAGAGACGCACAAATATGCAAAATATTCTCTTTTACTTTTTATGATCAAATTAGGAGACCCCTGTCTTTCGAATTTCGTAATAATCTCACTAGTCAAGATTATTTCTTGCTATCTTGCGCCTTTCCTTTCTGAAAACACTCGCTATCTAATATACATCTCAATTCCCGTTTTGAGGAATAAGAACATCGTTGCCTTTTTAATCGGGGTTTTAACCTCGTATGCGAATAATACTAGTGTACTTTTTGACGACGTGCAGACTATTCAAATGTCACTTAATCAGTAATTAGCTAGCTTAAACGAAATGATATGTAGTTTGGAATATATACGGCTGCATATTTTGTTAGATGTGCTGTTTATGGTTAATAATGTACTCTTCTCTTCAGAAGATCGAAGTACTTCTGTAAAGCCCTCTATATCTCGTACTATCCGAAGTATTTGGTAGTGAGCAATTTAAAATGGTCACAAAGGTTATGTACTGGGTGCCTATGTTATGCTTGTAGTAGTTTTAAACAATTAACCTGTGTATGCTAATAATTAGTGACTTAT